TACATCTTTTGGGGGGTGGGATGGAACAGTCCATTTCACTCCAGGATTCATCCAAGGGCAGAAGTGACATCCGGCTAGCTGAGAGAACAATCATATCTATCTATCATCTTGTCCTGGGTTGTAAGGTAAGCTTGTATTCTATTTGCCATCTGTTGAAGGTTGGGCAGGTTTGTTATCTCTCAAGAACAATGGTTTGCTCTGAAGATGTAATCGTTTGTTAATGGGCCATTGACTGATTCAATGCAGGGCTGGTAACGTAACACCATCCCATTGTGAGGTGCTCCACCCAGAGGGGGAAGCCAAGCACTCTTTTATTGGATAAAAGGGGTACGTTTTGGGGGACAGAGCAGCTCTCTCTTTGCGGGATTCCCAGAGAAGCGGCCGGAGCACAGTGAGGCGGCGGCGGTGGAGCTCAGAGGCAGCCCCGGCGCAGAGGAAGACCGGCTCAACTGCCACCAGATCTTCAGAGAAAACTATACCCTTCTAAAGATCAGCACTTCAGCTGCAATTCATCAGCCACTGCAAGAGGAGCAGCTATCATTTCAACCGGACTGCTACCAACATCCCGAATCCTCAGGTTGTGGACTTTATCACTAGTTTTGTTTGTACCGATTGCATTTGCCTTTTTACATTGTTATCTACTTTTCTCCTAGTAAAGAATTGTTACTCCCATTCCCATATCTTTGCCTGAGAGCCTTTTAATTTAAAAATCCTGGTAATTCGGAGGGAGGGGGGTTTACCTTCTCCATTGCACAGGAGGCTTTGCCCTCTTTCACAGACTCCTGTCTTGTCAAACCAAGACACATCTGCAACAATTGCCCTTTTTCATTAAACTTTTTAAAAGGTAAATACTGACAATTACTATTTTTGCACAACTTGGTGTATATAACATATTGCTACTGAAACTACACTTATTACTCTTAAAACAATCAAGCTTACTTTACGGAGTTCCTTCAGCCAAGATGCAGAGCTCAAACCTTCAGATAAACTGTTTAGCTAGATTATTAATTGAAATTGAGGTGGCATTTATTTCTTTACTGATTGAGCATTTTAACCTTTTGACTGCTTTAGTCTAATGGAAGAATTTAACTGAGGTAGTGTTATCAAAACCTTCTGGGGAAGATTCTATAATTAACCAGGTTGAAAAATTGTATGAGGGCTTTGTATCAGCCAGAGATATGGTACCAGAGCTTGCAGTCTTGGCCAGGGCAACCCAGGCATTTGTCTTTGGTTAACCTATAGGTGAAACTTCAATACAAAATTTGAAACAAGAGAACAAATGTAACAACAAGGGAACAAAAGCAACATGCATGTGTAAACAAATGTCCATAATCTTGAGTTGTTTCTGGCAGGTAGTTTTTTTCTCAGCTTTGCACAGTTCAGGTCTGAGTTTGGTTTGCACCTGCTAAGTCACTGTTATCTGTGAGGGTACTGTTAGATTTAGGTGTATGGTAGGGCTTTACATTCTTTGCTGGGACCCACTTGGATTTTTCACCTGTGAAAACACAAGCAAACTCTCTCTCCCATGTTACAAGTTTGCATGGGCTTTCTATTCGTCCTGTGACTGAGGTTTTGATTAAGACTTTAATTTTTGCTTTTTTGTTGTTCAGAAAGTGTCTATAAATCAGGGGGCCAGGCTCATTTGCAGAGCTATTTAAAAAATTGTATACGTATAGGGCTTTGCTCAATCTCTTTTGGGGTGTGGCCTGATACATTCCCTTCTTCTGTTTTAATAAGCTGCATTTTAGGGTTTCAGATGTGTTTTCTATGGTACTTCTCAACAGTTGGTAACCATAAGAAAAAGGGAAACTACTATCATTTGCTGCTTTTAGGAATTTTCTCTCGTCCTGAGATGGGACAGCTGTCCAGTCTCTGGGAGTACCAGTTTTGGATATATGCCTGTCTATCATTTGGAGGTAATCAATGCTTTTCTGGGAGTTTTGGGAAACTGGGGGAGCAGGGGTGGTACCAGCAGGGGCACCACAGTTCTTTGTGAGTCCTGTATTCGTCAAAGCAGCTGCCAGGTTCTGTTCCTCTCTCCCTTGCTCCGTATCAAGCTGTGATGAGGTGTTGTGTGAATCAGATGCAGCAGCTGGTAGCTGAGGCAGTGGAGCAGGAGTGGGGATTGTCAGCAAAGGCTCATGGGAAAAACCCGAGGGCGTGGAGGGATCTCTCCAGGCTGAGGCTGCAGAATCATCATCTCCTGCCAGCAGACTGGCTGGGGAGTTTGTGGGGTTTGTAGGCTGTGGTTTCAGAGAAGCTGCTGGTGGCCCTAGGGCGGAGGCGTCCAGGGGCGGCGGGGGCGGCGGTGTGAGGGGAACTATTTGTTGTGCGGCTGGAAGGAGTTCCGGGCGTGTCTGGCGCGGAGGGATGTAGCGGCGAACCCGGAAGTGACGTGGTAGTCCCCGGCCCCAGCAGCGGCGGTGGAACTCCCCCTGTGAGCTCTGGGGGTCCCACCGCCGCCGTCGCTGGGCTCAGGGGTTCTGGCTGGATGCAGACCGCGGCACGGGGTGTGTGGGGAGCGGCAGGCTCCATCGGCGGCGCGGCAGAGGCGGCGGGAACCGGCCAGACCGGGGGCACCGCGAACTGCGCAGGCGTGGGGTGCACCATGTGGTCTGCCGGCCGAGCCAAGATGGCGGCCGCATCTGCCGCACCGCTGAGGCCCTCTGGGGTTGGGGCTGCGCCGTGGGATTTCCAGGGGGCAGGGGGTGGCGGGGTCGCGGCATGGGGCCCTGGGGTGTCCCCCCGCAACTGCGGCTCGGGCTGGGGGCGGGGGCGGTGGGATTCCCGGTGGATTCAGCCATGCAGCCGGGATTGGGGGTGTGGCCACACATTCTCGTGGCATGGGTGGCGGCAGCAAGGCGGCCGCGGCTGGCCCCGGCTCCGCCGTTTGCAAGAATGGGACCAAATGGTTTTGCAGCAGGCCAGCGAAAGCGGTGATTGCCACTGTGAGGGACGTAGGCAAGGGAGCGGGCATGGCCGCAGGCCCCGCAGGGTGCGGGGGGGGGCCGCAGGGGCGGAGGGGGGCGGCGGCTGTGGGGAAGGGGGATGCGTGGCGCCGGGCAGGGGATAGAGCGGGGCTAGGGCCGGCCGCGGCGGTTGGGGGGAGTCGCGGTGTAGGCGGGAGGGGCGGGGGCGACCGCGGTGGTTGGGGGGGGGTCACGGCCAAGGTGTAAGGGAGGGGGGTCACGGCCAAGGTGGGAAGGGCGGGGCTGGTCGCGGCCGCCGGGCCCACGGGGGCTGGCGCATGGCGGTGCGGGGCGGGGGTTGGGGGTGTGGGGGGGGGCCCGCGGGGACCGGGGCGGGGGCGGCAGAAACTGCGTCGCTCGGGGGGCGGGTCGCGGTGGAGGCGGGAGGGGCGGGGGCGGCCGTGGCCACCGGGCCCGCAGGGGCCAGGGCCTGGCGGCCGCGGGGACAGGGTCAGCAGCAACCGTGCGGGCTGGCCACATGGCCGGGACTGGCTTTCGCGGAACGAACAGTTCGGCCACAGCTCCAAAAGCTGGGAGCAAATCGCAGGCATTTGGGTGTCTTCTATAAATGTCAATAAAAAGCTTATCTCCTACTGAGTCCCAGAAATCTCTGGTGAAGGCGGCTGACCGCTCAGCATGAGGGAAGTGGAGCAAGGTCCACTCCAAGAGGTTTTTTAACTCTTTCTTAGACAAAGTACTGTTATGACTATGTAAAAGATGGTTAAGTTGCTCATAGAGATCCTTATCAAGGGCAGAGTGGGATTGTCCCATATTTTAGACCTGTGTAGCTCACCTCGAGTTCGCAAAAGCAGAGACCCTCTCCTCAGGGTTCTGCAGAGCTCCGGGCGTATCTCTGGAAGACATTTCTGTGCTCGGGATGTTCAGACCTTCCCCTTGGGGTTTCCAGCGCGGGCAGTGCTATGCAGTGCTCAGTGCGCTCTCTGTGCCACCAGCTACTTCACAACTCAGGTTTGCTGCAGCTCCGCAGCAATTCCTTGCTCGGGGCAGTTCCAAGAGCTCCAAAAGCTCTCTACTCACGGGCTATGGTGCTTGAGGGTAGATTGCCTCTCAAATCCTTAAAGACCTTGGCTTCTACGTTGCCTAGCAACGACAGCCTGTGCTCACAGGGAAGAGGAGGCTATCACAGGTAATTACCGTGCATGGAGAGGTGTCGAGATTTGTGGATTCCTTGTCCACGTC